GAACCAGTTCCAACCCGTACGAACCCGTCAGTGTTGTCAGTATTGTCAGTGCAAACCTCAACCCGAGCCCGGTTACAAAAACAAACGTTAACACTGACGTTTGAAAGGCAACAAGCTGACCCAATTTTGATACCCGATCCAGGTTGGAACTGAATCAAAATCAAATTCGTTGTAGTTTTCATATTCGACTGAGTGAACTGTCAAAGTCAATTTGGTTGGCTGATGCTAATTTTATTTTTGTATTTTTTTTTCAAACTATACTTAATTTTCATATGATTTTCTATTTAGCATTTGAGAAAGATATTTGCTGTGTATATTCTTTAATGCGGTAGACTATCAAGAAGAGCATATCTCAAGCGTAACTATTTAAATCGACGTATCTGATTTTTTAGACAATCACTTCAATCGACGATTTGTGGCAACTGCTAAAACAACACCAACTAGCCCCAGTAACCAACAAGCCCGCTAATTTTGCTTTTTTTGCAATATAAGGCACAATATAGGGCATGCTTAGCTTTATATTAGGCGCATATTGGCCTTATATTGCTAAAAGGTGAATTAGCGGGCTTGTTGGTTACTTGGGAGCAGTCTTGTAAGTGGTCACGGTAGTCGACAAATTTTCTGTGATAATCAACTGCCTTTGCCTCCGACACTTTCAAAACAAGCTATCATAGTACAGTACCAAACTCAAATGTCATTTGACAGGCTCTGTCATACTACACTGTCGCCGAAGACCGTCACGAATGTATGTATTTTAGTTTTTCTCACAATAAGAGCTACTGATGTTGTGCTTGTGTGAGTTCTGACAATAGCAAGGAATGATGTCCTAGGAATAACATTTCTGATCAGAAATGTTTTAATTTACACTAAACTGAGGAATTAAAACGATATCACTCATGTCATATGATAGTTATTTGATAATTTTCTTTTTGCTCGAATGTTATTCTACCGGTTGTGTTGTGTTAGAGAGACGACGGTAGAGCATGAGAGTACGAATAAAAAGAGACTGTCGCGCATGACCACGAAGCGAGTGTCGTAAAAAACGTTAACAGTTTAAACCCCTGCTTGGGAGTAGAGGAAAGATTCCCCTACCTGATGATGGTGCTCGTTTGCGTGGGTTAGTTAACAGTTAAGACAAATCGTCGATTTAAATGATTGTTTACAAAAAAAGATACGTCAATTTGAATAGTTACGCTTGATCTCACGAATTTTTTTATTGTTTAGATCCTATCAAACCAACTTTGACTGATTCACGTAACGGTAGACAGGGCAAGATGGTCATCCTAAAGGTTGAGATCATTTTTAAATATGTAAAAATTGCAATTAATACATTGAATTATTGTCTGCCATAGTTCTTTCACGTCTGTTCAACTTGGCACCTAACCTACACAGTTTAAAAAAAACTCAAAGGGACAGTCCTTAACTGCAGAAAGAGCTTATGTTTCGTATATGAATAGGAATTTGAGCGGGTTTCTCTCTGTTTATACTCTTTAGTATGACGCGCTTGACATATGTACATGGCGCACAGCAACTCACGAAGAGCTACTGATTCCAATCAATAGCGGTGCGGCTTCTCCCTCCTTCTATCGATGCTCATATTGGCTGCAGCTCGCTGCTTGCAGACAGCCATTCGTTGTGTACTGAAGAACAATGTTCAACGCCACGTGCCGAAAACACTGCTGCTGCTGCTGCTGATGATGATGATGCTGACCACCGGACACCACCTCACACGGTGATTGGAACTGAATCCGATCAGCGGTTGAGGGCAGTCTTGATAGTTAGCTGCTTGCGGGGAGCCTTTCGTTGTGTACTGGAGAACATCACCACCCACCACGTGGTGATTTAATAAACACCGTTTGGTGAGACCGGATGGAATTCAACTTTGAAATATGTGTTAGGGAAATCGCTTTTTACAGGCAATCGGTGATAATTTTAATTAGAATAGCAACAGTTGCACATTCGTGCAGTTTTCAATAGTGTCATGTTGAAGAATGATAAAGTTTTAAATTTGAAAGACGTGTAGAAATATTTCTGATCGAATAGTGGTAAATTTTTTGAAATTGGTCCAGGTGCAGCTGAGTTATTAACGTTCAAAATCTTTCATAATTTTGTTACATGTTACATTTTCTGTTTTCACAAAGTGTACCCCCATATAGAAATTACAGACGTAGTCCTACCATAGAGGTAACTCTAAGACTAGTAGGTCCCGAAGAAACGTGCTTTACTTTTTGGCTCAGCTCTGGTACTCTCTTCGGTCCCAAGCTAATCGATTCACCCCTCGAAACATAGGAAAAACCAATAACCCCTCATTTTACCTGTCAAACTTTCATAGCGAATCAAAACAAACATTGCGTAGTATTAAAATTTCGACTAGAATGGGATACGTTAATCGATTGCTTGGGACCAATAGGCTAGTCAAGTAGTGAGCGAATTTAAAATCGTTAGTTTCGTATTGATTGTTGGTCCTACAGCGCTGAAAAAATCCAATTTTGCAACGATTTGCACAGACAATTTTTTGCACTCGAAAGAGTATCGAACAGTAGAACTTTTCGGCAGTGGATGCTGAGTATAGTACTTTTAAACACTGTTGTGCTACGAAAAGAAAGCCATTATTCAAAACAGTGTCGAAAAGTGACACTTTTCAGAAATGAGTGCTAAAAAGGAAGTATACAGGAATGAATTTTAACATGCATGGATGTTTACATCACAAGAAAAAATCAAAAATTTTCTGTGTACGCATTGATACAAATCAATGTATAAAATTTGGGTTTTATTTTTAAAGAAAATAATTAAAAAAAAAAACCTTTAAACAAATCCTTATTAGTAATTTGGCTTTTTAGAAAACTATGCATCACAGCAGACCGTTATGACATGTGAGATCGTTTGCTGTGTATACGTCTGATGAGAGTAACTCAGTAGCTAATTCGAATTCAACTCAAAATTGAAAAAAGTGGAGTTACTCAGTGAGTAAGTAACATTTACTTCTCTTTCCTGAAAAAAAAACTGCTTGAGTGCAAGGAAGATTGACCAAAATTTCACTCAGTCTAGGAGTATGCAACGGCCGTTCGCAATGCTGAGTTTCAAAATTGTTTCGAACTACTCGATAGTTCTAAAATTTGGAACTGTCACCACTGAAACTGCAACACGATATTCATCCCTAAATATGTGAGCGTGCGCAAAGTTTGTTTGCTTCAGTGATTTTAGCACGAAAGTAGAAGGTGATTTTGATTCAAGAACATGTTTCCTGGAACAAGATGATTACAACAACGTTATCCAGTGACAGATAACGAGTTCGTTAAGGTTCATCGACCTTATTCGCCGCCGAACGCCAGTTAGATTTAAACTTTTTCCCGTAAAGGCAACTCGCCAAGTCCGGCCAGAACAGCACAGGTCTATTATGTTGCTTTAGGAATGGTAGCAGCCGCTTTTCCAGGCACTCCTGGAAGTAGATCTTTTGATTAATGGTTCCCGTAGTAATGAAAATGCCACTTTTTAGACCACACGTGCATATGAACTGCCAGACGAGATATTTTTTCGGGAACTTCGATAGTTTGATGGTTTTGAAAATTTCAGCTACCTTCATTTTTCTTGATTCCTTCACATAAGTTTCGTCGTCCATGACGACAAAGTCGAACTTTGCGAGCAGATTCGTAAGCAGCTTTCGGGACCGCTGCTTTGCCGACGTATTTTGTTTGTAATCTCGGTTCGTCACCTTCACCTTTTTAAACGTCGACAACTCGGCTCGTTTCTTGGCCCGCTGCACAGTAGTATGGGAGATATTGAGCTTGCCAGCGACGTCCTGGTTGGAGAGTTTAGGTTCCCGCTTATATTTCACCGCCACCTTCTTCGTCGTCGCTGCCACGTCCGGATTACGATTGCTGCCACTTCCAGACTTGCTGGCAGTCGACAGACGCTCCCCGAATACTTTTAAAACGTTTGTCACGGTCGATTTGGCCACATCCAGCAATTTTGCCAACTTGGCTTGTGAGAACGTTGGATTCTCTTGCAGCGCGAGCAAAATTTTGACACGCTGCTCCTCTTGCTTGGACGTCATTTTGAAAACTGGAGAGCAAACGGTGAAAACTCATCATAGCAGCCATTGTATATACACTCAACTTCCAAATGCAGCATTCCAGTTTTTGTGCATTTTAAACACAAATACATCAATTTGAAGTTGACCAATTTTTGCGCGTTCCAAACTTTAGTGTAACTTTCAAACCAACAAAACCAAGTAGATAAATAGACTTGATGGGTTGAGACCTCGATCGCTGTCCTTAAATAAGGGTGTTAATTAAACTGCTATGTTCTCCCTAATAAAATAGTTATGGTTATTTAGCTTAACGACGTGTTCTGGGTATAATCCAAACCATTTGTGGAATGGTTCAATCATTTGGGTTATCATTCGTTTATGGTACTTTTTATTAGGGCTCTGTTACTGTTACATTACATTACAATACATTACATTAATGTATTGTAATGTAATGTATTGTAATGTAATGTAAACGAAGAAAGTGCATCTTGCCCCAACGGGGCATGTTACCCCCTATGCCTCAGAACATCCCGGCGGCACCGACTGGGATTGAGCCCAGGCCTGCTGGGGTGAGAGGTAATCACGCTTACCACTACACCACTGGCGCCACGATAAAATATTTTGAATAGAAATGGGGTAGTTTTTGACGTTTTAGAGTTAAACAACTCGTAGGAACCTCCAAAGAAGAAAGGCCAGCTGCACTATGCCCTGAGTGATCTAGTTAACTCTCGTCCATGCTTTCGACCTATTCCGACTCTCTTCGTATGTACTTGCTCACATATAACTGATAATACATATTTGCTCTTTCCCATTTCTTCTATTTCACGCTTTTCCTTCGTTGTAAAAAAAATCGACTTTCCAACACAAACAAACTGCTCCACACTACTCAACCTCAACTGCAATGATAACAACAATGACACCGACAACGGAAAACAAACGCACCACACTCGATTGGCGGGAATAAAAACAGCAGCAGCAGCAGGATATCCTCTCAGCATAAAGGACGCAAGAATGCGAAAGCTGAAGGAGCGCAAACTAGCAAAGTCGACAACATCCTACAGCAACGGGAGTCCCAACCGTGGCCAAAACACCAGCACCAGCAGCAGTCCCAACCCCGGGAGCTGCGGGAGCAACAGTAGCAGCACCGATGCACGATTAAAATCGCTGGATGCACTCGCTGTAAGTACTAGACTCTATGTATGTATGCCTATATGCAACTACACTCACAAACCTACACCATCTGGGTTGGGGTCGCTCCTGAGCTCGGAAAATTATGATTTTTCCCACATTACTTTTTTTTTGTTGGTTCGCAATGTTTGCTCTGGGTAAACAAGGATTTTCTCCCGGGGAATCAAAAGTGGCTCGTTCCTTCTTTTTTTTTTTTGGCCAAAATATCGATTAATTTCAACCAAACATACATACACATTTCAACTCTTCCGAAAGCGAAAGAGTGTGTAGGGCGGGCGCCAACACTGCGTCAATGACACCGTGCCCGATGAGGGTGGCGCAACGGGGGAGGGAGCGCGAGCAGTTCTGGGCTCGGACGGATGATGGGTTTGTGCAAAATTCGATACGAAAAGTGTGAAGTAGGAACACCCTGAAAAGTTTCCTGTACCTATTACCAGTGTGACACAGCCAGCAGCAGTAGCATAGGCAGGAAAATTTTCCATGGATCCACCTACCACCGACCACCGCAGTAAATATTGATTTGTTTTCCTATGCCACCGACGACGAAGCTGCTGCTACTGCTGCTGCTTTGGATGGTACTGACTTCAGTTGGTGTCTCAAAAGTTTGGATAGGTACATAAGGCTCGAAAAGAGCGGTGACAAGGAGACTGTGACTGTAGAAGATGGGACCAATGTGCTAGAGGTAAGCTGGGTATCCCCAATAACAAAGTTTTGATTGCAAAATTCCAATTTTGGATTCCATCAGCCAATTGGGAATTGAGCAGGTAAAAGTCAGAGCTGATTCATAGTCAAGCGATGAATTTGCTTCCGTGAGTAAAGTGAAAATCCTCGGAGTGAACTTAAATGGCGTACGCTGTTTTCTAGTACTTTCACGAAGGTTCCTGTACTTACACAAAAATGTTTAAACTTATACTCAGTTCCCTGAACTCAAAAGAGGCTCCCGAAACTTCTTTCCCAGGTGTGGGAGCTGCCCCCCTAGGGATAGCCGAAATATGGCGGGATGTGACCAGCGTGGTCCTGGATGCTCCAAATTACTACAATTGAACTGGTTTTGAATTCTCATGTGATTTGAGACATTGCATGATAGATTTTGACCCTATTCAGCTCTGGTCACTTCTGCGGGATACCGAAACATTTCCGGATACAGCCAGTGTGATCCTGGGCACTTCAAATGACTACCATTGAACTGGATTTTGCATTCTCATGTTATTTGATGTGTCACAGTATGCTGGTTTAATTCACTTCAGGTCGTATTTAGTAACATAGCCCAAACAAACTGGAAAGGGCCCATGCATAAATGACGTAGCATTTGAGGGGAGAAGGGTTTCAGAAGTTGTGACCAGCCATGTATTTGGTATAGCAAAATACGCTCCATTGGGTCTAACATTGGTAAAAAATATGATACGTCATTTATGGATCATCCCAAAATGTTCCGGCGATATCTCCAGAACCAGTTGGCCGATTCCAAAAATATGGGACCAAAATATCTTTCATTTGATGGCTGTTACGTCCAGTTTGGTTTAGTGGTTGCTGAAACACACGACTTATTTTCTGTAATCCGTATTCATTGGAACTTGTTCGGGCCATATCTCCAGAACCGGATGTCCGGTTCTAATAATATTCAAAAGCGACCACGATACCTTTGATTTGATGATGATGGGTGCCGAGAAACACGACATCATTCTCAAAATTCGTGTTTTACGGATCTTGTTCCATCCAAATCTCCGCAACCAGTTGACGGATTCCGAAAATATTAAAAAAAAAAGTCCTGTGGGACCGTGAAACCTTTCATTTGGTGGTCTCCGAGCCTCAGATTGAAAGTCAGTTTTCCAAGAAGGGTTAAAAGGCTCCCTAAGCAATGTTTGCTCAACTAACTTACTAAAACGTTCCCTTATATTCTACAAAGTTGTGCACACTTGTACAAAGTTCTCACTTTTACGAATTTTCCTGATTTTCGTCAAAGTTCCCTAAAATTTTACTAAGTTCTCTAAAGTTTTACGGAGCTCCTAGAATTTCTATGAAATTTCCTGAATTTCAACGATGTTTCCTAAACTTCTATAAAGTTCATGAAATTTTACAAAATCGCCTGAAGTTCAAACAAAATCCCTGAATTTCAATTTCTACTAAATTCACTAGATTTCTTAAAAGTTCACCAAATGTCTAGACAGGTCGATGAAGTTTTACAAAGTTTACTGAACTTCTACAACATTCAGCTACTGAAAAAAAAATTGTCTTACTGGAGCTTAACTAAATCAGTATTTAATATAACTTAACTGATTTATCCAGAAAATTTCAGCAAACTCGTACTGAAACAACAGTAAATTTATTTTCATTCAGTTTTGACTGATAAATCAGTACATTTAACATAGAGGTAACTCCAAGACCAGAAGGTCTCGAAGGAACGTACTCAACTGTTTGGTTCAGCTCTGGTACTATCTTTGGTTCCAAGCTAATCGATGCACCCCTCGAAACATAGGAAAATCCGCGAACGTCGCATTTTATCTGTCAAACAATCATAGCGAATCAAAACAAACATATTTTTTTTAACTAGTTCGTTTATTTGCTAGGCTCAATCGCGTTAGCTTTACGAAGCCGATAGTTCATTGTTCTTTGTTTGTAACAAAATTCACTTAATTCTATGTCTAGTAGGAGTTGGGCCGAATACTCGAGGTTAGAGAGGTACATTGTCGAAGGATAGGATCAGGGGAGGAGCTTGGGGGTAAGGTTTCGTTGTCTCATCAGAGTGTTGTCGCCAGTATGAATGGTAATCCGGTTCTAGTTTCGTCTGGAGTTCGACCGGCTATGACCAGTGGGCGACGATGAGACTCATCGAGATGGGAACAAAACAAACATAGTATAGTACTAGAATTTCGACTAGAATGGGGTACGTTAATCGATTTGCTTGGGACTAATAGGCTAGTAACAATTGTCATCTTAAAACTGAAAACTAAAACTAAATCTTATCTAAGTATAAAGGGAATTAATCGTTGCAAATGAGGATTGAAACGATATTTGCTTGAAATTATTAATTATTTTGTTGGAAATTTGGGTCCTAATTACAGGTGTCACTACACGGTGAATATCACTTTGTTTTCAACGTAAAGTGACATAAGGGCCTTGTTCTAAAGTCGCAACATTCGAAATTCTGTATACCTCGGTAGTACTATACCAGGGAGGCAACTTCAAAATCATCTTCCGAACTTTGTTCGGTCTTAAAACTTGTTTAAATATTAGAAGTTTATTCGTCAGGCAAAGTTTGGATTTCCTGTTTATAAGAGGATACAAACATTTTATATATTTGTTACATTTGGCTTGAATGCTTGGAGTTGCTGACAAACCGGTTTCACCGTGCTACGGCTATCTATACCGACGGCTCTAGGTGTGAAGTAGTGCTGGGACTCGGATTTTCCGGATATTTTTATTTTTCAATTTTATTAAATTTTGGCAATTGACAGATCTGCCATTTAACATCAGGTCACATGGGCACATACAAACCAGCTTTTTGACAAATATTCAGAACGGTAATAAAAGGAGAATAAATTTGAAATTTCACTATCCGGACACCCGGATAGTTACTATCCGCCTGATAACCATCTCAAAGTTTTCTCAGTTTATTTTATTTCAATATTGGGCACTAGAAAGCATGATATTCTGTATACTGAATATCAATACAACGATATTCCATTTGTCTGAAAGTAATTTTATTAAAAAAAAAACTGAAGTATCCGGATAGTTGAAGTCCCAGCTCCAGCTCTAGTGTGAAGACAGAGTAGGATCAGGAATATTCAGCGGTAGCGTGCAGAGAACAATAGGCCTTCCGTCACAATGTAGCGTTTTTTACGGAGGAGGCCTATGCGATCAAATCGGCTGTTATCGAGACTAAAGAGCCTAAATTTATAAAGAGGCAACATGTCAAAATTGGAACAATCGATTGTCTGTCAAAGTCATTGGAAAAGTCATTCCAATCGAGCAGAAGACCTGTCAAATAGATAAGATGTCGTCTCTTTATAAATTCAGGCTCTTTAATCGAGACGAGTACAATAAATGACCCCCCTAATAAACAAATACAAAAAACAAACTGTATCCCGGATGGGTAAACTATCCCACAAATGGTTTGGATGATACCCCGAACACGTCGTTAAGCTCTCTTTTATGGTTATTTTTATTAGGGCTGATCATTCTGTCCGACTCGACTAGCTGTTTTCAAGCAATAGAGATTGGCAAATCGTAGCAACCTTGGATCCAAGAAATTGAATGTCTGCCTCGAAACCATCCGTAGCAACGAAGAAGCGATCCGACTCGCCGGAGAAGCACGAAATTATCCGCCACTTAACATTGGTATTGCAGGAAAAGATGCCATTAAGGTAATGAACCAAGCCGTTCGTCAACAGTGGGAGGCACGATGGGCGCAACTAACAGAAGTCAAGCTGAAGGAAATAAAACGTGACACGAAAAAGTGGATCGATCAGAACGGTTCTGCCGACCAGCGAGTACTCACTCGTCTGCGCATCGGTCATACCAGGCTGGCACACGAATTTCTATTGAAGAAATCATCGCCACCGACATTCGAATGCTGTGGAACGGTTATGGATTTTATTCCTTTGATTTGTTTTTTCCGTCGATCTTGTTTGTCCGTGCTGAGCACCAATGCTACCGACGTGCCAGGAAGGCAGCTCCCACACCTGGACCCTACCTATCGACCCATCAACTCATGAACCGGGGACCAACGGCTTTACTTCCCATCCGAAGGAAGGCGTGATCAGAGATGTTATGCCTCAGAACATCCCGGCGGCGCCGACTGGGATTGAACCCAGGCCTGCTGGGGTGAGAGGTAATCACGCTTACCACTACACCACCGGCGCCGTTGACGGAACGGTTATGGATGTCCGGCACGTAATTCTACACTGCAGGACGAAACATAGAATCGATCCAACTAGTCTTCACACGGCATTATGCAACGCTGATGACAGTGGAAAGCGATTGCATGAAGCTAATATTCTATCGAACATTGTGAAAATGGGGAAAAGAGAGAAGCGGATTCAGAGGACGTTAAGGACAACAGAAGAAAACAGAGGATGATGGTGAAGAAACATACAAACTGGGAGCAGAAGAAGACATGAATGGAAAATAAGATTAAGAAAGCGGGGCAAAAAATCAAGAAGACGAAGGAGAGGAGTTGCCGCTGCCTGATGAAGTAGAGGGCGAAGCAAAACGAAAAGAGGTGAAAGAAGACGGAAAGGTGAATACAGACTCCAGCACGGATGAAGAAGATGGCGACAAAAAAGGTGAAACCGGAAATCAAAAGAAGCGGAAAATCGAAAAATGAAAATCAGAAGAAGATTGAAGTGGATGGAAATCCAAGAAGCAGGAAATATGAGATGACGAAAGGAATTAGCAGTAGGCGGAGAGGAAGAAAGTTGAAGATAATTTTATGGTAGAGAAATTAATGAAATTTAATTTAATCTGAAGTAATTAATAAGTAGTAGAACGAAGCAATAGAAGAAGATGCTGTATGCAGCAGAATTGATGAAATCTGGACCGGAGCAGTAACGAAGCTAAGTGTAAACTTAACAACTAACACTTTTTGTTTTTTTTTTTTGCAAGGGGGAAACCTTCAAAAGGCCATCGTGCCACCGCTTGATGACTGGGCGCACAGTCGCGGTGACACGGTGTGTGGGATTCTTACCGCACTAAAATCTCCTTGGACGCCTTGCCATTTTCCCCCGGAACCACTTGTCGTATTACTTCGGAGGGTGCCGTGCATTACGCACCTCACTTTACATCAGCTAATTGGCGCTTCCAGTTCGCTGATCGTCTCTCCAATTTGTGAGCTATTTAGCTCCCAGCGTCGCGTTCTACTCGGTTAACCCCGGTGGTGGATTCAGCCTATTCTGACGGAGAGTTCTCTCGGCTTCGGCTTTCACATCGCACTTGTGTGACCACATTACTATGTACTTTCTAGCTGGTCCTCTTGCCATTTTCGCTGCACCGCTGACATGATCTGCGTTACTGCTCTGCTGACGGCGTTAAAGGTGCCCTCCTCTTGACACATTTCTTCGACCACATTCTCCGTGCTAAGGGCGAGCATCTCCTCTCGCACAGCATCAAATCTAGGACATTCGAAGACCACGTGCTCTGGTGATTCTTCCACATTCCCACACTCCGGACAGAAGGGTGACGTTGTGTGTCCGAACCGATGAAGGTACTTCCTGAAGCAGCCATGACCAGACAGGAACTGCGTCAAGTGGAAGTTGACTTCTCCTTGCTTCCTGTTCATCCAGGTCGAAAGAACCGGTATTAGCCTGTGTGTCCATTAGACTGATGCAAAATTTGAAATTTTCGCTCCACAGTGTTCAAACGGTTTCAAATCGGGTCCTGATTAGCCTCCGAAATTTTAAACTCATTTCATAAGAAACTGACTTGGCACAAACCATTTGAAGTTTTTATGGAAATTACTATGGAAAAACAAAACTAGTTGTTCATTGTCTTCTAGCCTTTTTACATATTGTACTGTTAACAAATTCTATTGCTATTCTCATGGGAATTTTTATCAGCTACAACTTCGCAGAAAATCGTTTTTCAGCCAAACGTCATATTAAATAGTTATTAATTGTTTAAGAGATTGATAATCTTATGGCAAGATTAAGCAACTGTATTGTGGGCAACACTGTATTCTGCAGTGTGATTTTTGTCCTCTATTCTACGCACCATAAACACCAATGTTGCCTGCTGAACAGTTGATTGAGCATAATCATAAGACATCAAAGACTTGAATCATTAATAATTTTTGTTTGATCGAAAAGTGGTCTTCAACAAAGTTGTAGCTGAGAAAATTTTCAACAAGCTCAGCTATCATTTTCTAAAGTAGAGTGAACTTGTGAATTTTGAGATAGATATGAACCGAAATTATGGTTTCTCCATAGTAATTCCCATACAAACTTCAAATGGTTCGTGCCATGTCAGTTTCTCACTAAATGAGTTCAAATTTTGGGTCTAGTGTCCATCTACCGTTCTTTGCTGCATCTCACTCCTGCTGCCACTTAGCCATCGACACCGTTCTCACCATGTTTCGTACTCCTCTGGTTTCTCTCGTCATATAGCACTACTAGTGCTATGCTCCGCCAAGGAGATGTCGATTGGGATCATACTGGCGATAACGCATACTGCCTCTATCGAAATGGTTCTGTACGCACTCACGACTCTCATGGCTATGAGCCGGAACGTACTGCTCAATTTCCTTTGGTTCTGCTTCGTTTTCAGCGCTTCAATCCAGGCTGGACCTCCGTACCTTAGTATAGATGAGGACACACTAGCCAGAAGACGCCTCTTGCTGCTGCTTGGACCAGAATTGTTCGGCATGATTCTGGCTATTGCGTTGATGACCTTCGCCGCCTTCTCGCAAGCATATTCGATGTGGCTGTTAAAGCTTAGCCGGTCGTTGATCATCACTCCCAGATACTTCAGCACGCGCTTCGAAACAATGGTGTGCTCTCCAACGGTGATTTCTGCCCAGTGCATTGCTTTGCAGTTACTGACCAATATCACTTCTGTTTTGTGGTGGGCTATCTGCAGCTTCGCTCCTTGCATCCAGTTTCCAATCGTTTCTCTCGTTTCGGCCACCAGCATTTTCACTTCTTCCAGCGACTCACCGGTTACCGTCAAGACGACATCGTCCGCAAAGCCAATGATCTCAACTCCTTTGGGCAGCTTGAGCGTCAGCACACCATTGTACATTCCATTCCACAGCTTGGGACCTAGAATGGAGCCTTGTGGAAATCCCGCCGTGATTCTAAGCGATTTCTGCCCCGTGTCTGTCTCGTAGACCAGGACCCGGTTCTGGAAGTAACTACTTAGAATCCTGCAGAGGTAGTCTGGAACCCTCATTTTATGGAGCGCCTTGGCGATGGCCTCCCAGCTGGCGCTATTGAATGCATTCTTCACATCAATCGTAATCACGGCGCAGTATCGATTTCCTCACCGCTTCTGTTTGGAAGCTCTTTCGGCTCTGTCAATCACCGTCCGAATTGCATCCACCGTCGATCTCCCTTTCCGGAATCCGAACTGCCTCTCCGACAACCCGTGTTCACTCTCCGTGCATTCAGGATGATCCTCTCCAACAACTATCACTTACACCACATCATAAAACACACTGTACCAAGGGGTATTCAACTATGCACACTGTGCCGAAACACAGCATGGCACACTATTCGGCTCTTTAAGACAAACGTTGACAAGTACGATACAATCAACATAATATAAAACGGCATCACTGTCGAGAGTTGACGTTTGGCAATCGTTGCTAAGGTTGACTTATTTGTTTACTCCATTGGGCTTTACATTGGGTTCGGATTCCAAGGAAAAATGCTGTGATTATTGCCTGCAGTTGAATTCAACTGACTTGATCAATTGACTTTCCCTGTCTAAGCCCAGCTTAAAGAAAAAAAAACACATCATAGCGGGTGTGTGTGATGGGTTTTGTATTTCGGCCAGGTTTGAATCGCGGTCTTGCCAAGGGTCTTCCGGGATGAAATTTTGTATCGTTTTCTCCTATATTTTTCCTTAGGTACACAGGACTTTATAGTGAAGTCCCAGTACTTATTGGGGGATGTCGATACGTATTAACCCCAAATATTCCATCAGGTCTGGACGATTGGCTTAGCGAAACAGTATAGGATTTATAGGAACAGATCTATGCAATCAAAAATGCAATTACATTCTACTTCGTGGGTACACCCCATCACCAGCGATCCAATCTGCACTCTTCTGTTGAACTAGTTCGTCTCAAAAGGATCCGGTGCGATGGGTGGCCTACCAATAAATCAATTATAAGGCCTTGCGCAATCTCGAAAGTGCATGACGCATGACGACACTAAGTAATTTGCTGTTCGGCAAGATCCAATGGGCGTGCAGATGAACAACAACAACCACAGGGTACAGTTGAACTGCAGATGCGAAGTTAATCTGGATCGTGCACTATTTCCGAGGTATCACATATATGAAGTAGAGGGACATTTGATGGTTTTCACTGGTGGTACATTGGCCATTGGTTTTGATTGGTGGTACCTTGTGGAAGGTATCACATCTGCAAAGGATCGTGAACCTGCGTAATTGAGTGATGGTAGCAGACATCACAATCTGCGATACGATAGGCTTGGGAGATGTCTTCGAGGTTGCGTAGTTCTGAGTCGATCAGAACTGTTTCGAAGATGTTGTTTCTAGGGTGGGAGGGAACTTTCGTCCGTTCGAGTTCTGGGTTCGATTTTGTCGGGGAGCATTTTACTGGCAGCTGGTGAAAATTTCGACCTCCGTCCGTTTCTTGTGGGTTGTATTGGGTTGCATTGCTTCCAGTTCCTCTTCACTGCCCAATCCGCTCTCATTCTAAAGAGAATGAAGCTTAATATTTGCCATGAACCATGTTCATGAATTAGATAAATTGAAAATGTAAATACAATCACAAAAGTCTAACATCAAGGTTGCCAAACTCATGGGATATTGACACCTTGATTGATACACTTCGGCCAAATTCCAAATGGTTCGTTTTTCCAGACATTTTATTGCATTTTTATTAAATCTCTCAAAGAGAATAAATATGATTCTGAATAATACTAAGAGACCATGATAAAATTCTCGTATTATTTTAAGCATCGTAGCCATAGATAGTCAACTTTTAAAAGTGCCCAGACTTGGGGATTAAGTGTCAGAATTTCGATTCTGTACGGTATCTGAATTTTCTAGTCATTAAGTGTCCTATATCTCAGACTTGGTTGATTAGTAATTAAACCATTCTCTGCAAAACAGCGAGATAGATATTCTTCATCAATTTGCATCCGACTTTCGAATAAAAATCATTCAAAATCTTCGCTCCCCTCTGTAGGTTGTTGCTATTCTGCTGAAACGTCGTCATGAACTCCCCAAGGGCAGCCTCGAAACCATCATCGACCCATCACTCTGGGCTGGGCGAACGCGATGCGATGCCACTAAGGCAGCATAGATGAGCGAGCATAGCATTAGATGAATGCCTCACACTCGCATAATCGCAACCATCCACCACCAGAAAGCACAAACCGAAACCGGGAGGTGGGAGATCATGTTGTGTGAATCGGAGAGGGACACGACACGCAGCCCCGGAGAAACAAGACTTTGGCCCATTTTTACTGCGCAGGATCGATAATGAATTTTCGATGGGTATCGTCGTCGTCGTCGTCGTCGTCCTCGCCACTGTCAAGCTAGATCGAAAGAAATACCTACGTAGGTAGTAGACACGGTGCAGACGGAAGGTGAAAAAAGACAAGTGTAAGCCTTTAGCTTGCCCTCGCAGCCGGCTTGGCCACTCACACAACCCTTGCTCCGGCTCCAACAGATGTCCACCATCCGGACGCACGCCAAAAAACTGTCTTGGTGTTGGTTTGGCGCTCGGTCCCCCTTTCCCAATGCCGGTTTCAGCTGGACAAACTACACGGCCGATTACACCAACTCAAATTTGAGTTTCGTTCACTCAAAGTCGCAAAAAACGTAGGTTGTTATTAGACTGAGTAGAGTTTCCCTCGAAAATCGAGAGAGGTTTCACTCAGTCTATTAGTATACGAGATAATGGGTTTTGCAACTTTAAACCACAGAGAACAGACGTTCATGTTCGGTCTGAAACTTGCGTAAAGTTTAGTGGAAACGTCGCCGTTACGTGGCGCTAGGCTATCCTGATTTCCTCTATAAATTTTCCACTTTCGACCAATTTGGCGCTAGTATCGATTAGTTTTCTGTTGAAAATTGCCATTTGGTGCTACCAGCACTAGTGTAAGTTGTGCAACGCCAGCGCCATCAGGTTGTCCAAGAAGGTTTTCAAGTGAGGAAGTCGCCGTTAGTGGCGCTTAACTCAAATTGGAATCTTTACACTAATTTTTAGAGAAATTTTGTTCGACCCTCAACGTCTGTTCTCTGTGAGTAAACGATGAAATCAAATATATTATATTAACAATATGATCCACTCTTTCGCTTAGCTGGTGAACCGAATTTTTAGCGATAAAAGCACCTCTGTGGCCAAAAAGGCTACCAATGTATTTGCTTATCGTCACGAGGGATAAACCAAATGAAAATTTGTTTAATATTTCAAATGAATGTATTTCAGCATTTTATTTTTTTTGATGACAACAGTGACATGTCAGACAAATTTTAAAATAATATACACAATGTAAATAATGAAAATAATTTTACACTTACTTTTGTAATAAGTGCTATAATCGCACCCCTCGATTGTAATTGAATGATTGTTGCTGACCTTTTTCAACGCTGATGATGCGTGAAGTAATATTTTGCGGGTCGCCATTGCAACATTTGGAAAAGGCATGAATGGATCATATTGTTAATATGATATATTTGATGAAATGCTCCTTAAAACTTGGAAAAAAGCGCTTTATATGAATCTAACGATTTTTAAATGGCTCACTACTTGACTAGCCTATTGGTCCCAAGCAAATGGATTAACGTACCCCATTCTAGTATACATTCCAGTACTATGCTATGTTTGTTTTGATTCGCTATGAAAATTTGACAGATAAAATGAGGGGTTCGTGGATTTTCCTTTGTTTCGGAGGTGCATCGATTAGCTTGGGACCGAAGATAGTACCAGAGCTGAGCCAAAAAGTTGAGCGTGTTTCTTCGGGACCTTCTGGTCTTAGAGTTACCTCTATGCTTTTACTGCGTAGCTTCTCAGATGACCACAGAGAACAGACGTTGCGGCTCGAACAAAATTTCTCTAAAAACTTGTTTAAAGATTCCTATTCGACTTAAGAGTCCCTAACGTCGAATTCCCCCCTTTAAAACCTTCTTTGACAACCTGATGGCGCTGGCGTTGCACAATTTAGTGGCAATTTTCAACAGAAAATGTATCGATACTAGCGCCAAGTTGGTCGAAAGTTAAAAATTTATAGCGGAAATCAGGAGAGCTAGCGACGGGACTTGACAATCGGGTAGCGATTTCGAGCCAATTTTCTGTCAAATCCGAGCCAGTTTCTGATTGGTCGATTTGACAGTAGCAATCGTGGAATGAAAAGGACAGAGGGATCGCATCAATCTGGCTGGCAGTGATGCCGGAATCAAGGTTGACGTCAGTGGCGTTGTTAACAGCTGGGTGATATGCCGCCATGTTATTGAAACCAACATCTGAAACGTCACAATTCAAGTGTGAACTGCAAAAATGGCGTGACTGCATTGTCTTATTATTATCAAATGAAATTATTGTCCCTTTCATGCCATATAAATGGTTGACTTCGTGGTAGAAAATCAGAAAATAATATTTAATGAGTTCTATGTTTATTTTTCACAAAATGTAAGCAAAAATATTATGAATATCTAAAATATCAGTCACGCCTTTTTTGAAATTCTGGCATGAATCTTCTATTTGTTTACAAATTATGAGCTGTCAGTGGGGCCCACGACTCGCGGGCCCGCAGCGATGTTAGCTCTTTTCAAGGCAAGGCAAACAATATAGGGATGCCACCCAGCTGGTTGTTAAATGTTTATATTTGCCAAAGAAAAGGGGAAAAATTGAATGCACTGCGTGTTTTAAGCGATGTATATTGTTGTTTGTTTATGGTTGTTTTTATTGTGTTGAGCAAAAATGATGTACGAGCTGCTAGACTGCGGGAGTAACTTCGAATAAAAAATCCAAAGTAAAATAGAAAAAATATTTTACATTCCAGGCATCATTGGTCAACTCCATCAATACCACGCACAACTTCCCGAAGAACATTCTTCAAAAACATTGTGAGAAGCTCGATTGTCAAACCCCGTCCCGGGTGAAAACTAACGATTTTAACTCACTACTTGACTAGCCTATTGGTCCCCTTTACATCTATAAGCGTACCCCATGCTAGTCATAATTCTAGAACTACACTATGTTTGTTTCGATTCGCTATGAAAGTTTGGCAGATAAAATGAGGGGTTAGTGGATTTTCCTATGTTTCGAGGGGTGAATCGATTAGCTTGGGACCGATGATAGTACTAGAGCTGAGCCAAAAAGTTAAGCACGTTTCTTAGGGACCTTCTGGTCTTAGAGTTACCTCTATGGATGTACTGTTCAGCAAATGTTTTTCAGTCACGGAAGGACGAGCAAGCGTCTAGAATAAGCTTTTAAAAAAAGATCATAAAGGAAAAGCAAACTTCTAAAGAAACTTCTTAAGAAGATTGTATAAGAATCGAAGCATTTTAAAACGATCCAAAAAGAAGCTTCTTTTGAAAGCTCATTACAGACGCTTGTCCGTCGCTCAGCTCCTCTGATTGAAAAGTAAGAGGTTGTATCCAAAACACGACCGTAGATTTGACGTAGGAATACGTAAGGTAGTTTTGATGTCACAGTAAAAGTATAGTAAATATTAAATCGATTTCTTAAATCGTTATCACTGAAAAAGTTCGATAGGTTGAAATTCGGAAGAAGTTCTGTTTTTGAGGTGCTCTATGTAGCCAATCCTGGACGATGCGTCTTAGATACAAGCTCTTACTTGACTTTGTAGTCCTGAAAAGGACCGATGGGTTGAAAGCTTGGAAGTTAGTTTAGAACAATGCTGTGAAGTTATTTCCTCGATGTTCTTGGAGATGATAGCGGTGCTTATGCGTTGCACCTGTATCGATTGGTGAAAATTTTGGTGAAGGGCGATGGCATAGTAGTCCTCAATTGATGGTCTTGGCGAATTGATACGTTACAAACAATGTACATCTTTGTTTCAAAGGGATATAGTCAAAGGTTCTATCTTGTCCTAAAGACCCTTCTCCAGCATCCCAACCAGTGGATATAAAGCAATGTTGTCTCTAGCCGTTCTGATCCTGTCTCGGTAACATCGATTGCTTTCACCATCAGTTTTCGGCTGCTTCTACGGAGGTTTGTCCGCTTGCAGTTCCTTTGCACGCTTACGTGATCCGCGCTTGTATTGTGTAGCCAAATGCTGCGACAATTTCTCAAATATCACTTACTTTACACTACAATAGTAGAATTTTTGAAGAGATTGAACAGACCATTAATTTGGGAATTCGGAAATTAAATCTGTATTAGGGAAACCCCCAATGTTGCCTTTAAAAATACATGGTATCTGATTTAAACATATGGGGACTGACATCCGATTGATGACCTTGACAAATGTCAAGAAAATACTCTTTAACAAATTTATGGTGTTCCTGCAAATGACCGTTTTGTCGTGATGGTTGAGTAATGCTGCGCTATTAGGGTGTCCAACACAGATGAGGCTTGTGAGCGGTATGTTGTTTGGAACGAGGGTGACGCGCTTGGCATAGATGGCTCACAGTGACTCATTAAGAGCTACTGAATCCGATCGCTAGCGGTGCGGCTTCTTGCTCCTTCTTCGGTAAATGGACGCTCATGTGGACTGCAGCTCGCTTCTTGCGGGCAGCCTTTCGTCGAATACTGGAGAAAAATCTACAACGCCACGCGCCGAAAGCACTGCTGGTGCTGCTGCTGCTAATGACGACCGACCGGACACCACTATAGTCGCTATATTCATAGTCTGGCGGATAGAATTTCGATATATCAAAAAGCGGAACCAATTCAATACCTTGTAGACCAACAATTGAAAAGGTACTATCAACTTTTATGAACAAAACGTTGATTATTCTTTCCTCGCCAATCGAAGGTAAATTACCGGCATCATCGGATAGGGGAACTTTCCACAACCTAAAGATGGTGTTAGTTTGTGTAGGCGAGCCTTGAAGCACGAGAAAACGGTTTCCGAAGTTTTGTTCGCAATAGCTGATGTGCTCTTTTCTGCTGTTGGTCGTGATTTGTTCGATTGGTTCCGCTATTTGACAGCTCAATTGATTCCCGAGATTCTATCCACCAGACGATGAATAATAGCGACTATAGACACCACCACACACAGTGATTGAATAAGCACCGTTCAGTGAGACCGGATGGTATGTGATTTTGAAATCTGTGTTAAGGAAAGTGGTTTTTGCAGGCAATCGGTGATCATTTTTATCACCATTGTA